CCGTTCCTTTTGGGTTCCCGCTCTTTCAGCGGATAGCGTGTTTTGATGTATCTCTGGATCCATTTACAGGTCCGAGGATCGTGGAGCGGTATCCCTCCGGCCCGGCAGTGAGGCCGGACCAGTTTCAGGCCGCCGGCCTGACCCTGGTCCAGTACCAGGTTATTCCGCTACTGGACCCAGGCCGGTATATCACTTCGGCCTAGGTCCAGGGCGGCAGGTTCATTCATCCAGTGGTGCGTTCTTTCATGGAGCCGGACTGGACCTTCACTCAGCTGCTACCTCTCGTGTGTGTCCATCTCCTCCCTCTCACTCTCTCTCTCACCATCTCCGCACGTGCCCTCTGCACGTGCGTCACAACCCTGGTCTTTCCTCCTATCTCCAAGACCAGGGCTTTCACACCACCGATGTATGTTTGTGAGTGTTTCGTTGCAGTCTGAGTCAGGTCTGAGTCAGACCATGTATCTCAAGTCTTCCCCTGTATTTGTATTTGTATTTGTATTTGTATTAACTCTGTATTATCTGGTCGGTTCTGGGAATCTGTGCTAGCCAAGCACGCATTTTAAAAGCGACTTCACAAAGGAGAGCACATACTTTCACAAATGTTCCGACAGAGGAAAATGGCGCAAATAAGAAATGCAAGTTGTCAGTGAGTGAAGAAGCTTGTGACCGAGAACATTCTCTACACAGTGCCCCGTTATAATACGGAGAACACGGTCTCTTAACTTTCCAGAACGGATGACGGATCGGTTTCCGACCGCTCCCATACTACGTGTAGTCTCCTGTGGACCCGCGGTCAACCACACCACAAGGGGAGCAAAGTATCGGAGGGTTCCAAATTCTCGTTTGCAGATGCGAGCAGGAAATCGAACGTTTGGAGGCCAATGCATCAAGGCTGACTCTCAAATTCGCTTTATGATAGACAAACAAACACAACCGCCATGCATTTTAAAAACCAACTCTTTGTATTAGCAGCTAACCCTGTCCAACAGTCCACCAGCAGCACTACCCGTCGCACTGGTGGCATACACGAACTGTGAAATCATCTGCATCATGATGGTGTTCAGAGCCAGCCAGTCGTGCCCGATTGCCAGTCTCTCTCAACATCAGAATCACCATGTCATTGATTGTATATTATGTGTGGTGGAATGAATGCATCTCCGTCCATCTTATCAGGCTGGTCAACTTAATGCATTGGAAACACAACACTGGGCTCCATCAAAACTGCTGAAGAAGTCACAAATCATCACCGCAGCAGACAGTTACTTAGCTTCTATCTCGAACGAAGGAGGTTCGATGGTACCTGATTCCCACCCACAGTGGCACAAAGCAGTTCGAGAGCATGAGCAGCAGAACTTAGCTTCTATCTCGAGCGAAGGAGGTTCGATGGTACCTGATTCCCACCCACAGTGGCACAAAGCAGTTCGAGACCGTGACCACAGCAAGGTGCAGATCCTATCCTAACTACCCAAAGCGGCGCCCGCATCTCATCTCCCCCCGTTTACACCTGATATCATATCCAGAGTGATATCAGGGGACACGTTCCAGGCGTCTTCGCATAAGGGCAACCCAGCTTGGCCTTGGCCTGAAGGTATTCATCCAAGCGGCTGATAGTACTTGGAAGGAGGTGTGATGCTCTCTCCGATATCTGATGATATACGCGTGTTATCTTTGCATCATGGGGACCCAACTTGGCCTCCATATCCCCAGGTGCCCATTCAAGCAGCGGCCGGCTGATGATGGAAGCTTAGCAACATGATCTTCATTCTTATCATCCTCCAAACCCAGCGATGGCGGATCTCCAACAGCTACATTAGCGACTAGCACATGTCCACGGTGATGGCGGATCCCCAACAGCATCATTAGCTACTAGCACATGTCCACCATCCAGATAGTACCCTACCGTCGCGTCACGTCTCCGTCATCTGAGCAAGGCCACACCTTTCAGACTGAGATGCTGGCAAGCCTCAGCAACTGACCTATCGCAGGTGCTGCTGGCTGATACCCATCACCTCACCGGATAGAGAAGGGCGAAAGGTGCCAGCATCGGACGGACTGTCCTCCAAAAGCAAAGAAAAAAACAAAGCTGAGCTGCTACAAAAACTTTGAAACCTTCCCAGGTGGATGGATGTTGCCTCTCTTCCGAATAATTACTTTCTGCAGACAAAATCCTCACAGACAAGTCCAACAACAATGGATACAAAACGGAAACGGCTCTCGCATTTTCGTACGTACGCATGAGAAGGTTTCACGCGAGCTCAAGTCAAATCATCCAAAACGCTTTAACTCCGATGGTCCGTACCGTGAAACCTTCCAACCCAGCTGCGACGAAAACAAGGAAAATAAAACCTACTTCTTCCCTGTAGTTTTCATAGTTTTCCACCATTTTTCTCTTCCCTCTAGTTTTTCCCTACCCCTCTCTCAAGTTCCTCTCAACCACTCCCTTCTCTCCCAATGCATCTTGCAATGTACTGAGTGATTAAAAAAAAAAAAAAAAAAAAACTCTGGAGCCTGGACAAGAAAAAAGGGCATGTGAATAGAAAGCAACCCTGTGTTGGTTGATCAACGCCTCTTAGAAAAAAAGATAAAGAGGGTTAAAAAAAGATTAAAAAAAGTCACAAAAAAATTAAAAAAACATCATATCACAAATTCTTGACGACAGAACGACCTTCAACAGTTACAGTCTCTCTCTCTTGTTTTTTTTGTTTTTTTTTTTCTGTCTCTAAGTGGAGTGGTCCCAAAGCATTATCCATTCAGAACTTGAGATCCCAGAGATCAGGAAAACAAAAAAAAAAAAGATCCTGCGGCACAAATGCCTGCCTGCCTTCCTTCACAACCGTTAGTGATCAGCGTATGGCACAATACACACACACACACACACACACACACACACACACACACACACACACACATGTATGATGTACCGGCATAAGTGCGTAAAAATGTCACACGCCTGAACATCCAGTGCAGGAGTGCGCGCTTATGAAATCGCAATCCAGTTTGAGGAACTATTCTTTCTTTGCCAAGATCGGAAAAAAACAACCACCCTTTACTTATGCCATCTTGGCATAGATGGTGGAATTGTTTCCTTGGTGATGTCCGCAGAACAACTCCAAGTGCTAAGACCGGTGGTGGCAGGGCACCAAAAAACTAGAGAAGGACAAGTCCTTCAGGAGTCCAGAAACTCATGTTTTTCCACCAAAAAAAAAAAAAAAAAAAAAAAAAGCACACAAAACACATGCCACCCAAAGCCCATGGGATCATTTTGCCTTGGTGGTGCCGTGAGTAGCCTCCGGGCATTTTGACCCGAGCCTACAAAAAACGGATGAGGTACTACAATGAGCGGACACAGATGTTGGCAGTTACTCTCTCCGATACGCTCGCACGCTTGCACGCCGTCAAACTGCTCAGATGTTTCTTCAATATCATGTGGGACGCTACCGGTAGTCCTGTTTCCCAGCAGGTGCTTCTCCCCCCGCCAATAGATCCAGCCTGTAGTACAGGGAACCACTCACTTAAGGAGGGAGCTCTTATCACCTCCCTAAGTAGAACCCGCATGGCAGGAGCCACAGCAACAAGAGGCCGCCACCAGAATAAAAGAGACTACAATCTATGCCTCAAAGACTGTGGATGAACCCAGCCATCCCGCTGCGGCCCCCAGCCAGTCTACAATCTATGCCTCAAAGACTGCATGAACAACCCATCCATCCCGCTGCGCCCCCCAGCCGACTTCCCGTACCCCTTCCCCCCACACGATCGTTCCTTGGTGGATCTGCACTGGTTCGGTGGGGGGGCTAGCAATACATGACCACTACCGAGAACCTACAAAAAAAGGATGAGATACGACAACGATCAGACACGAACATTGCCAGTTACTCTCTCTCTCTCTCTCTCAGATACGCTCAGACATCCTCGAACATGCTCAGTTGGTCTTTTGTATCATACGCGACAGTGAACCCGTTTCCAGCAGGTGCAGCTCCACACCGATAGATGGAGCCTTCAACACAGGGAATCACTTGAGGGAGCCACATCACCTCCATCAGTGGAACCCACACGAAGTCTGACAAAAAAAGCAAAGGAAAAAAAAGCCTCAGGGCACGGAACCACTGAAAATCATCACAGAAGCCCAGAGATAAATAAACCCAGTTTTAGAGATACCCGCTGGAGCATAGCATAAAATCAGAGGTGGGCAGTTTTAAAAGATACAACCCCCCCCCCCCCCCCCCCCCCCCCCCCCCCCCCCACCTGTCCCCTCTCCTCTTGCCCCACCCTTGGCCCCCGGACCCCCGTCAAAAAAGGGCATGGGCCCAGCTGCACAGGCACTGAGAGACGGGGGAGAAAAAGGCCCTCCTGGGGATCCAGTTGCCCAGGCCCCAACAAGAACAGGATAGAAAAAGGCGCCCTCCGGCAGTCCACGGCACGGTCGAGCTTCTCCCCTTCAAGAAAGAGGGACCGGATCTAACCACAGTAAGCGGTTTGATCCACTTCCAATTTCAAATTTGCCGCATATTAGGGAATTCGCGCCCCTGGCCGCGGGTTACTAGTGTGTGACACTAGTGGGTGACACTGGTGTGTGGCACAAGGTGGAGCACTGGCATCATTGGCGGTCCGCAACATGGGCCAGGTGGCGGTGCTACAGAAGGCTTCTAGCAACAAAGCGAGAGAGAGAGAGAGAGAGAGAGAGAGAGAGAGAGAGAGAGAGAGAGAGAGAGAGCGARAGRGGKCKGGGGGGGARGGKGGGAGGRGGGGGGGRRTGWCTCGWGTGAAATTTTAATGGTGTGAGGGAGTGAGACGGGCAGGTGCAGGCGGGAAAAAAAAGGAGTCCCAAGCGCGGGCTGGTAATGATGTTCTCAAGGGTGCGGGCGGGTTTGGGTGAGGGGTATTCAGGTGGCGGTCGCCAGGCGGGTCGGGCGTGCGGCAGAAATTTCAGGAAAAACTTGGCAGTTGAGGTTGGCTTGAGGCGGATAATGAAACACTTGGGCGAGGATGGATGGGAGCCAAGAACACTGGGCGGCTCAATTGAAGGGTGGAAAAAAAAAAAGCCTACCTCTGCATAAAAATTCTCCGGGCAAAACCAACCACCGAGTCAGATCTAAAACTACAGTAGCCTCCACCACCCGGCTTAACTAACAACAACCACTAGCCTGCCATGGCTTGAGAAACTTGGTACCAACTCCAGGTCCAGCGTTTCCCACCTTCCACCATGCATGCTCACCCATAGGCTTCTGCACTCTGCCAATGCCCAAAACATTAAGCCCGCTACGATCTCAGGTCGAAGGTCACAGAATAGAGACAAATGGGATGCTCTCTAGCTGTTGCTGATTCCACCTTCTCACACTCGTCTGCTCTCCATAGTTCGCTAAGCATGTACTGACCAAGCCCCAGCGGTATGATTGCTCACATCGACGGATTTACACACTCCGCTCTCCACACCGTGGTTTTCTTTCCTGTGTGGCCAGGCCAGTTGCTGTGGTCAGAAGAGCGATGCCAACCTGAATATAGTTCAGAATGGGGTCTGTATTCTGAAGCCAGAATACTAGGAGCAATCATACAAAGATGACGACATCAACATCAATTACTACGAGTACCAGCATATATGGCCAGGATGACAGCAACAATGGCAAGCCATTGTTGCACAGCATGACTGAAAGAGAATCTGATCAACTTGGCACTTCCAGAAAAATGCAGATGTATGCCAGCAGGTGGAACAGATGCATTCTGTGAAGGTCTATCGTAATTCGGCATTGCAGCATCGGCTCCTGCTGCTCCAGCTGCTTCTGCTGATGCTGCTGATGATGGGCCGCACTTGTAGAGGAGGGAAGAGTTTATCTCCATCTTGTATATCCGAGCGTCGATTGCCCCAGCCAACAGATACCGATCTCCGGGAGATAGCGTTATGGAAGTGAACTTTCCCGAAATGGTTGTGTTCGAAGTATCGTCATGCAAGCTCGCAATCCGCCTTGACTCTATGACATCCCCACCCACGCTCTTCAACTTCAGCCAGCGAATAACTCCACCCTCTCCCTCTGCAACGAACAGGTTACACCCATCTGCTGTCACAGCCAACCCAACAGTCTCCTTGAACTCTGCAACGTGCGGCGAACCATCCCCGCGTGCCCTCAGGCTTGGGCCCCTGTCTGGAGTATGTTCCACAGACTCGGGCGGCAACATTCCAGCTATGGTGTTGGTAGCCCCTGTGGTCAGGTCCACACACCGCACCGCTTGGTTCTGCTGATCTGCTACATACAACAAGTAGCTCCCGTTTGCAGGAATCGCTCGGGAACCAATAAGCGGATTGTCAAACCTGGAATCTAGAGGAAGCACAGTAGCATCCACAAAGCCCGTGTAATGGGTGTCGCCAGCTAGTAGTTGGAGATCGCCGGTTGCCGAAAACGGGGACTCCGAGAACGGAACACTGTAGATGCAACTCTGCGTGGAGATATAGATCACTGCCTCCGTCGGATGTTTAGCCAGTCGCCGGGGCATGTCCACAGACATAAATACCCCACTTTGCCCGGTTCGGGGGTCCACCTTTCGAACAACCCCTGCACTGTGGTCGGTGAGCAGCACCATCGCCCCTGTTTCACCAGGAACCAGAATGCCATCCATCTCAAATCCCTCCCCATTACTGCTGCTGCCATCAGCACTATCAGCTGGCGCGGTTTGCATTTTCCATGGCCCAGCAACAGTGGAGATGGTATAGCCGCTGGTACTGTTAGGATCGAGAGATTTCTCTGCTTTCTTCAGACATTGAAGAGGTTCAGCGCCTGTGTCGTTGTATTCCAGAAAGTACAGGATTTCGGTCTCGGTCATGAGAACATCTTTAGCATAAGCACTGCTCTCAACGCCTTTGGCATCCAGAACGTAGTACCCGAAATTGGGACGGAGCAAAGCATCTTGGACTTGGAGGGTGTACCGACGGGACTGCAGGCTTCTTCGCGATGCTGAAACCATCCTTGGACTCCCAGCTGCTGCAGGTGAACTGTCCGCTACGAATGCTTCCGGGTGGCCCGTGCTGATGTCTCCACCATTGCCAGTCCCCAAAGTGACGGAGGCAGCAGCAACCAGCTTACAGCCATTAAACCGGGACAGGAGGGGGATACTCGTCGGGAACCCAAGTGTCATAAGCACCAAAACAATAGTACTTAGCATCGTGGTCGAAGGGATGATTAACGGTGGCAAGAGAAATAACTTACACCCCATCGTGATGAGGATCGCACCCTGGGAGCTCTCGGCGAATTAGCTCTGCTGCAGTGCTTCCCCTGTATTTCCCCGAAAACAGCTTGTACTAAAATTCTTCCCTATACTTCCCCAAACGGCTTGTACTAAAATTCTTTACTCCTTCAGCGACAGAGAAAGCATATGAAACCGACAACAGAACGAATACCAGAATCCCCACGTCACGAGGTGAGAACATGCCTTCGTCCTCACTACACTACATATCGTATCTATCCTTGAGCCCCAAGAGTGCTAAGAACTACTCGTAAATGAAAACAGAATTGTCACATTTACATTACAGCCATTCGCATAGCTAGTAAGTGATAGCATACAAAGAGCTTGGGAAAGCGAAGCTCTTTTGTCATCGACTGAGAGCCTGCACAACACCTGCTGAACCCGGAAGCACAGGACCACACAACTGGAACTGGAAGCTGCACTTGCACCAAGTTCACTGCAATTCTCACTCGGCGAGCTGCGGTGTTTATTTGATCTCTTTTAAGTTAGTAGCCAGCAGACTGGGCACGCATAAATGATGATGTTAAGATCTCGGTGATATATGAATTTGCTAACTAGATGCGATCAAACACAGCCGCCTCGTTTCAACCGTCCTCGTGCTTTGCCACCACCCGTTAACTGACGGAAAGGCACCGTCAAAACGAGGCATGTTCCTCAGCGACATAAACGCACAATATACATCCTTCACAGATTGCCGAAGTGGTTTCTGCTGTTCATTGTCTCACTTCCTTTCAGCTTCCTGGGAGTCGGCCTTTCTGGACGGGTTTAACAATTTGTTTGCTGGATGAACAGCAACGGGGGGGAAAGAACAAAGACTCCAGGTAATAAGTCACCAGCTGCTGTACTGGAAGGAATCCAGGACCTGCTGATCAATCAGCAACTTTCAAAATCAAACCCTCTGTCAAGACTTCCCATATCATCGCAATAGAATTCCAGCACTCAGAGAGAGGGGTTACAGCATACATTAACAGAAAGATGGAGGCAAAAGCTCAGCATTCAGAAGGCATACAGCGCACAAAGCAGACTGACAGTAGAGAACAAAAACATGATGACGGCAAAACACATTCATTGGTCAATAACTGAGGGTGGCAGTAATGAATGAATGGGTGGGAGGCCGAAAGAGAGAGTTGGGTGTATCCAGGTTAGATTGTAGTTGGGTAGGGGGAGCAGAGAGAGAGAGAGAGAGAGAGAGAGAGAGAGAGAGAGAGAGAGAGAGAGAGAGAGAGAGAGAGAGAGAGAGAGAGAGAGAGAGAGANAGAGAGAGAGAGAGAGAGAGAGAGAGAGAGAGAGAGAGAGAGAGAGAGAGAGAGAGAGAGAGAGAGAGAGAGAGAGAGAGAGAGAGAGTTTGTGTTCGCATCTAGGAGTGGGGGAGCGGTTACTTACCTGAGCGATTGCCGATTGTTTGATGCAGCTCATGCTGCCAGACTCTTCAAACAATTCGTTGTATCATAATAATAATAACTGTTCATTTTCTGGTGCGCTGTCCAAGTTTCCATCTCTTGGCTCGAAGTATCGACTCTCACGTGAATGTTCTGCTGTGCATGTATGGATGTTGTGTGAATTGAGGGGGAGGTTCATTGCATTCGCATCAGAGCTGGTACCTGCTACACCGCGTGATGTAATTTGAGCGATGGCGCTGGTCTAGGCCGGATGGGTGAGAGGTTGGGAAACAACGAGGTGAGAGAGTTGGAGTTTGACCAACGGGGGCTGAAGAAGAACGGGCATTGCCAATCAGAGCACATACCTGCAAGAAGACGAAGATCGCGTGGAACTTCAAACGGACCTAGTGAAGTACTTTCTGCCCCGGCCCATGTCTTTTCTTGCATAATGGATGCATGAATGATTGATGAATCCCTTGTCGTTTCTTGGTGACGCTGCTGCTGTAGGTGTCGTTAATTTTTGTTGATGTCAATCCGTTGCACTTTGAATTCTCAATCCTTTAGGCTGCATCTGGTCTTCAATTAGGTGTTGATGTGTGTTGGTGACTGACTCGATAGCTGGCCCACAGCATGTTAAGTAGGAGTGTGCGAGCATGAGCAGCAGGCGCTCGTAAAACCACCTGTCTAGCCCTAAGATCGGTACTGACCGGCACACTCCCTGAACCGTGTGATGCGTAGTGTGCGGTCATAGGTCGGGTAGCAGATCGGCAGCTGGAAGCACTACCTGTAAAGTGCATGAGCAGCAGGCGCTCGTAAAACCACCTGTCTAGCTCTAAGATCGGTACTGACTGGCACACTCCCTGAACCGTGCGATGCGTAGTGAGCGGTCATAGGTCGGGTAGCAGATCGGCAGCTGCAGGCACTACCTGTAAAGTAGGAAGCACGGGGAAGAGCGGGGGGCGCTCATTAAACAAAAGGGGTATGCCAATGACCGGTATTGACCGAAGAGCGACCGAACCAGGCAGAGCAGCGAGGAGCTTCAGTATTGAGGAAGGGGACTTTGTATCTGGTGGCCTGTCTGCAGCGTTAAATAATTCCTGAGGACGACGCTGGCAGCCCTTAAATCACTGGTGGTCCACCAGCGATACTTAGAACCCTGTAGAGACGGACGAGGGGGAAGGGATTTAGAATATGGTCAAACTGCAAATTGAGGTTAAGACCATTGTGAGTGTTGAGGGGTAGGCCTAAGCGGTGAGGAGGCGGAGTCAACTTACCGCTGTGCCTTGTTTGTACCGTGGACGATTACCCGATGTTCGCTGTTCTGGCCCTGACAGTCATATGTCTGCCATTCTTCTGGATGCTGTTCCCTTTAGGCTTCGCTAGGATGAGTTGTTGCCCCATGAAGGAATTGAGGGACTGCACCGTTGTATTGGACTTGGGAGATGAGGGCTATGACATCAGAGAAAGGGAGGAAAAAGAAAAGAAAAAGGGGGAGACTGGAAGGAGAATAAAGGCATAGGAGGAGGAGAGGAAAAGACTTGAAGAAAAAGAAGAGGAAAGAGGAAAAGAAAGAGAAGCGACTATGGTGGTGAAGACGAAGGAGGCTGAATCAAGTCAATCTCGCCCCACCCAGATCTGTGTGCAGATGGAGGAGGAAAAGGAGTGGTGAACAGTTTAGGATTGCCAAGGAAGAAGACCATGGAGGAGATGCAGGGGGAGGTGAATGAGTATGAACAGGCCCTGGCATTGATTGACGGCGAGGAGGAGCACGTTGCAGCAGTGGGAAAGTGCATAGGAGAGACGCAAAAAGCAATGGTGCAGAAAAAAAAAGGGACATTGTAGCAAAAAGGAAGCCAATGGAGGATGGACTCAATCTCAAGTGACAGGGGAATGCCTCAGGTACTGTCACAGACCCTCAGAGGCGTTGGAGAAGCTAGTCTTCTGCATACCACTGGACTGGGCCTCACCCTCGAGAAGGGGGACTGGGTGGCTGACACGGGCAACCAGGAAACGGTTGGCAGCATAGTAGATTCCCACCCAGATGGGACGGTCCTCCTATCCCGTTTTCAGAGGCAGAACCACAACTGTCTCACCAGGATCGTCCCTTAAGAGTGGGAGTGGATAAACTGCTCTGAGCTCTCTAGGATCAGAGTGCTCTCTGACCAGGATATCTGGCTGGCATATCGACCTGAGACACCGATCTCACAGCTGGCCTTCAGCCCGGGCAACTGGACCTGGACCACCCAGAATGGCCGACGCAGGCCCCATCGCCGGCACCTCCACACCTTGACAGTGACAACAGCGTATTGAATGTTGTGGCCGACGAAAAAGTTTAGAGACAGGGTGCAGGCTAGGTGGATGAGACACTTGTGGGTAAGGAATCGCTCTGTGCCATAAAGTGGTTCAGAACTATCAAATCCAAACCAGCAAAGCTGGTTTCACTACACTCAAAGGTCGGGCACCACTGCCTGCCCACGAATGACTGGCTGATAGACAGAACAAACCTGGAACAGAGAGGCTTAGCCTTGCCATGGTGCAAAATCTGCCAGTCCGCATACCAACCCCAAAAATCTCCGGAAACAGTTGAACACACCCGGGGCCGTGTGGCTGTGTAGGTGGTGAGACTGCATTTGGAGTCAGCTAGGCACCAACGTCCAATGGCCATGCAGTTGGCAAGCGCTACTGTGTCAGGCGTGGCATCCGCAGCAGGCAAGCACTTTCGCCAACAATATGTTCAGAATTGGGCGACGGGCCATCATGTGAGCCCTCTGGTAGCGTCACTGCACCTTCGAAATGGAGGGCATGTGCCTGGAATGACCAGTTTTCACTGGCACAATCAAACCGACATAACAATCAAATGGAACCTGGTAAAGGAAAAGATGGCTTTTTAACATTCAAAAAGGAAATCCAAACCATAATCGACCAATTCAGGATGGACTGGCTGGGTGGTGGGGTGCAGGGTGGGTGGATTGCTAACATGGTGTGGCAATGGGGGCGGTGTATGGACCAGACAGAACTGGTGCGGGCACTACGACCTCTTCCACGGTTGGACCACGATCGATGCCTCCATGCTAATGCACACCCCCGAGGATTTCCCAGACCCCTCCCCCCGCGGTGTGGCAAGGGGGACGGTGTCCCGACCGAAAGCAACAGGACCTAAGCAGCCACTTCCACTTGACCCAATGCTACGGCATTGCTACGGGTTACAGGGTGGGGCGAGTCACCAGTGTTGACTGGTCGTGGCCACCAGTCCTCCTCAGGCCACTGAAGTTACCGAACAGGAATAGAACCCAGCAGCTACATGGTGCTGCTCAGGTGCTACTGAGCTATGCAGCTCAGTTCGAGTCACCACACCTGTTCTGATATGATACTTGTACTGGGGGTAATGTAGATGTAGAGGATTCTGAGAAAAGAATGACTAAAAGGCAGTTCTGGGTGTCAACGGCTGGACAAGCTAGCTTCGACCACAGAAAGACTGTGTGGTGAGAAAAGATCAGGGAAATCTGGGGCTGCTTTGAGGGGGTAGGTTGGGTTGACTTTGGTCCAGTCATTAAATACTAACCGATAATTGTATTGGTTTGTCCTTTTGACCATGCTGTCCAGTCATCCCCGCCCCAAGCTACTGATGGCATCCACCCACCTCGAATGTTGGATCGTGCTGCTTGACAGGCGAACCCAGGGGAAAAAATTATGAATCGTCTAAAAACAAGCACTTCCGGCCGAGGGAAAACGACCAACCAACCCCCACAGCCAGCTCCGGCAAGACTTATCACTAAAGAGCCACCATCTCCTTAGCCGCTTGCCCCTTATCCATCCTGATGACATATCTATTAGACCCAGTATGGTCTGATAGCCCCACTGTCCCACCCCTAGATCACATCCCCGGTCCTCAAGCTCTCGTTCACTATGGGTTGCACAGACCAGCATCATGATAGCTGCAGCCAGCCGGTGGCCACTGAAAGTGACAGTTTTGTACGCAAGGCACTTTCCCAGATCTCTCCACCAGGCCTCAACCTCCCGTCAGCTACAGGCACCGCCCAGCATCATTCTGGCATCAGCCAGCGGCAGGCTAGCGATCCAAACCCTACTACAACTAAGAGAGCACCTCAGAACGCAAGACGTCCCCTCCTACTAGACCCATCACCTCACTCAGCCAAGACTATGCGAAGGTGCAGCCAACCCCCTCCTCCGAACAGCCACTCATGATCGCGGTAACATAGAGAAAGGCAAGGCAATCCCACGGTCGAGGACAAACTATTGAATGAGAAGAAAACAGAGTCACAGACCACCAATGTCGATGAGTACAGAGTCACTACAGACACATACAAAAGACTGATGACATCTCAAACTCTGCTACAATCAGGTCATTAAAACCTTCGGAAGATTATCGTGTACACCGCA